TAGCTTCCAGAGACCTACTTGGGACTTGGCCTCTGGTAATGGCAATAAAATGAACATGGTTAACATCAGCATGCTCATATGGTGTTTTATGCTATACAAAGTACCAGCATACACATTTTTATATTTGATCTTTGAAGCTATGCCATGCAGCAGTTATTGTTAAACTCATTTTACAGATGAGGAGATTAAGGCCCAGTGGAAGATCTACTTAAGCCCACATGACTTGGGAGAAGTAGACTTAAACTAGACCTTAGCTTGTTAATACAATGTTCTGTTCCTTTCCCATAGTGCTGAGTGCCACTCAGAGAGCTGGCTGTCATCACGTGCTCTCCAAATTTTACCCTGAACTGCCTGGATATATCCAAATCATCTAATTTAGTGTTAAGAGCATGTGCTCCGATAGACCTGTGTTCAAAGTTCATCTACTGTTTGGTAAGTTTGATCTGGAGCAAGTGATTTTATTTCCCCAAGATTTGGTTTTCACATCTGCTGAAAACAATGAGTATCTCTTAACGTTGTGAGGATTAAATGATATCGTCTACATAGTAATAATAATGAGATGATGATGACGACTACTGGCTTGGGATACGAGATGTTTAGAAGTGCCAGGTATTTTATATACATTATCTTTGAGTTTTGCAATAACCCTGTGAAATGTGTATTTTAATTCCCAATGTATATATGGGGAAATGAAGGCTAAAGAACTTATATGTCCGGCACTAGATCAAATGACCAGCTGAAGCCTGGCCGTTGTTGGGATTTGAACCTGTATTGTCCTGGCTGCAAGGCCCATCCATGTTCTTTGCTCGGTTGTTATAAAGCATTCTTTGAAAACGATGGATTCCTTCAAAGGGTCCTGGGCAACAATTTCATCTGAAATCTTCTATCGATTAACTTAAAATCCTTGACATTCCCTGAAAACCAAGTCCATGTCATAGTCGTGGGAGAATTCAGTTTGCAAAGAGGTGCGCCCAGTAAAAAAGGTTCGAATTTTGTCATTTCACTCAGCTAGTTGGTTGCTGTGAA